TTTTTTAAAAAAAAAAAAAAAAAAAAAAAAAAAAAAAGAAAAAAAAGAACAAACGAACAAAAAAATAAAGAGCGATCGTGAATGGGGGTGTTGGTGTTAAATCATAACGATAAGAGAGGTTACGTGGCCGTGTCTCTTGACTGCCACGCGGCAAAGTGAGATTATTATAATAAATTTACATTATCGAGAAAAATTAATTAGGGAATGAGAGAGTGGGAGAGGTAGAAGAGGAAAGCACGTAAGTACGAATGAGCGAACGAACGAATGAACGAATGTATGAACGAACGAACGAACGAAAGAGGGTAAGAGAATATGAAAGTACGAAGAAGAAAGGTGAGAATGAAAGGCAAAAGTTTTGGAAAGAGTAGAATGCAGGGACAAACGAACGAACGAACGAACGATGTTAGAAAACGTTTGAGAGAGAGAAAAAAAGTGCGTATGCGTGCATGCGCGAGAGTAAACTGATGCACGAAAGAGATATACAAATTTGAAAAAAAAAAATTTAGCACGTTGAACAATGCTATGAAAATACTTTTTATCGTAGACACACTTCTATTAGGTGAGAGAAATTACTCAAGAACGAAGAAAAGGCAAAAAAATAGAAAAAGAAAAAGATAAAAAGAAACCTGTATTACTTATTAAATAAATGAACGGTGTTTTTTCCGCCTACGAGTCGTATTTGCGTTGAGCGAGTATGGATGTGTTTATTTCTCTTTCTCTCTTTCTCTCTCTCTCTGTCTCTCTCTCTCTATATATATATATATATATATCCTTGTCTCTTTGTATGTTAACCACTTGCGCTGTGGCAACTGATTGCGGACCGTAACGAGTGACCAAATTGTATACGATAAATCGTCGCTTCCCTTTTCAACTCGTCGGTATGATATCTCACTGGATAGAAATTATCGAGAAGTAATAATTTGATTATTTGTTTTGCCTATTTCGTTTTACTTAAATATACTTAAAACTGTGAAAATATTACAATTTTGGGAGAAAAAGTTCTCGACGTGCGTGGCACGTCATTACAGCGCAAGAGGTTAAACGAGATGGATCGTTATTTTGTTTTCACATCTTTTACGCGATATTGCTGTTACTATAATTATTATTGTCATCGACTGTACAAAGTTGGCAATAATATTGAGGAGTCCACTATCGTAAAGCATCTATTAGTCGTTTGACGAGAAAAAAGAGAAAGAAAAACGCGAAGCGAGGTCATCCAACAGAGAGAAGAGAATTCGTAGCAGCACTGACTACGTATATACTACGTAGTACATGCTTGTTTACTTACTACTTACTTGCGATATATACATACAGGGCTGTGGAAAGTCTAGCGTGCCGATCCATGGGAGCGTGTGTCCTTTCATCGTCGTCTAATCCTGCATGAGACGTAAACGTCTCCCGCGAGCCTAAATATACTGTATATAATAATAATTCTGTAGATGTTCTATCTTCTGGCTCGCTTTGTGACAGAAGTTTCTAATAAAAAAAAAAAAGAAAAAAAAAGGGAGAGGGGAAGAATACGACAAGAGTCGAATCACGGATTCGGTTCCGTCGAACCTGCGAGAGTATTAAATTTAATCGTCAGAAGCTTCTTTTCTTGTTCGACGTTAATGGAGTCTCTCCTTGGGTGGAGCTTCGCCGATTTTCCCTCACGCTTAGCAAGTCATCTTCCACCTGCCGATTTACCGAAGCGACAACAAAGACGAAAGAAAAGTAAAAAAAAAAAAAAAAGACAAGGAAAGAAAGCCAAGCGTTTACTGTACAATTATATTCTTTTATGTTAACGACTTACTATCTAGTAGACTGTCGAGTAGTATATTTTACATTACCGAGAATACGATAGCGTTACTTGTCTGACTCTAATTTTATATGTCATCGAAAGTACATACATACGTATTCGCAGAAGTACTGATTATAGTCAGCACTATGGTCAAGTTATTATACATCTGTCGATAACAGAGGACCGCAAAGAGATTTTAAAAACCGACACCATGTTCAGTGTACTGAACTGATTGATCTTCTCTCTCGAAACACAATATACAAGGACATGATATATACATACAGAGTGGGTCACCACATATTGTCATGTAGATTTTCGTCATTACGTGTAGCGAAAAATGTTTTAAATGAAGTTGAATGGTTGAATGGAAAGGACATGTAAAGGTCATTAACATTTTTTTAAAATGAAATCATACATTTTTCATTGCATCAGTTGATGCACCTTGATATTCTTTACAAAAAAAATATTAACCTATTTATGTTAAAAAAATCATTAGTTTTAGGAGATACTTTAATTTTAATGTTGTTAGGAAATAAGGTGTACGCTGAGCCTCCGACTACAATGGCCAATATGACAGATCGTATCATCACTGAGTGTAATAAAATAACACCAGATACATTACACAATGTGAGTGAATTATTAATCTATCGATTCAGAAAATGTCGTGATGTAAATGGTCGTCACATTGAGCCTTTTCTGTAAATAAAATCATTACAACATTAACAAAGGGGTCATGATTTCCTAACAACATTAAAATTAAAATATCTGCTAAACCAATGATTTTTCAACATAAATAGGTTAATACCTTTTTTGCAAAGAATATCAAGGTGCATCGAAAAATGTATGATTCCATTTAAAAAAACGTTAATGACCTTTATGTCCTCTACACGTCCACCTGACAAGAAAACTGGTATCGTCAAAGTGTCTTCTCTCTCGAAATCATTCAACTTCATGTGAAACATTTTTCGCTACGCGTAATAATAATGACCTAACTCTAGTTGGCAATGTGTGGTGATCCATCCTGTATATAGATCACGGGAGTGAACGTTGCGCGTCCCATTTATTCGTCTCCTTTGCTCTTTGTCGCGTCGTGGTTTGTTCGAGAAAAAAGAGAGAAAGAAGGAGAAAGAGAAAATTCGAGAGGTTTCCTCTGGATTTTGAATCTTTATTGATTATTAGCCGCGTGTCCACGTCGTTGGCGTCACAAAGCAACGAGAGCAAAAAACGAGAAAAGGAGAGGACAACTGGAAAGGCAAAGGGAAACGTAGCCAAGTAATAAATTAATGGGAAAAAGTTCAGACGTTGGTATGTACACGTAGGTATAATACAGAGCGGCGACGTCAGTCGCGTAAAACTGTACGCGCGCTCGGACACAGAATTGTGTCGTCGAAATCGGACACGATCTCCGCCGGATGTAACAAAGCTTGGGAGAAGTCGCCGTCCCTCGCCGTTGCTTCCGGTCCGCGGAGGGCGTGCTCGCGAATGAATCCAATCACCAGTTCGGGATTCACGTAGGACATGCTCAAACGACATCCCCACGCGACCAGGACCAACGGCTGAAACATCAAAGAAGGTCTCGCGTTTAACCCAGTTAAGCCTTTCCAACAGCTTGATTTACGTTTACGAGAGCTTACGCGGTGTTCGTCCAACAGGTTGTAAGGACTGATCACGTGTCGTCGTAGACAGCTCGAGAGCAAGTTCTTCAATCGCCTCACTTCCATCGGATTGGCGCATGGATGGTACAACGCGACGATCGCTCCGTGCTAAACGCAGAGACGAAACGATGGTAAAAGTAGGGAAAAAATGAAAAGGAAAAAGAAATCTGCCAAGGCGATTGAACGTTGTTACGATTACCTCGAGGCTGTGGAGCCACCTCTGCTTTGGTAGAAATTTGTACTCGCCGTAGATGGGCCAGAGTGGCCTGTGCGGTCCGCTGAAAATGGCGCGCACGGTTAATTCGGCACGAACGATTTCTTTCGTTGACAAAACGAGGCGTACTCACAACAGCGGAACGTCGTCGTCGTATTCAATTTTCTCGTACATACATTTGTGCGTTGCCTGCAAACATTTCCAGCCGATCACTCAGCCTAGCTTGTTCATCGTCGCCTCGTTGCGACTAAATACTTACGACGTAGTGTTTCGGGATGCGCTCGCAGTATTTAAGCGCTATCCTGCTTCTGTTTGGGGTGATTCTTTCGTCGTAACAGGTGTAACTGATTGGATTACCATCCCAATCGACGGTTAAATTGGTCTAAAAAAAAAAGAAAAAAAAGGAAGAAAGACGATATGCAATGAGAACCGTGATCCAGAGATCGGTGAAAGAATCGAAAGAGAGAAAAATGAATCACCTTGGCGTCGTCGCAGCTTTTCGACGAATATCCCATCGGTATTCCACCGTGAAAGGAATGAGAGGACTCGAAATCGTACGTCTGGTCCATCTTTGGAAATACTTTTGGCGGCGGAGTAGGATCGTTCGGTCTGTCGGGCATCCATCGGCCTGTCCAGCTCTCCGGTTCGTCTTCATCGTTGGCGTTTCGTCGTTGACTCTCGCCGCGATCATCGCGAGATGCATACTTGCGCAACAAGGTCCAACGATCGAGATCGAGATCGAGATTCCGTCGTGGCTCAGCTGCAACGTGTCAACGATTATGAAAGATTCGTGGAGGAAGAGTCTCTCTAGAAAGGCAGAGGAAAAGGGAAATAGTTTATAGGTTAGGAATGATAGACGGGAGAAGCGCGTGCTCGATTCGGCGAGCGAGTTATCGAGATACGAGCAATTATCGAAAATTGGTCTCTGACCGATCGTGACAATTTCTCTCGGTTACCTTCGTCGAAGAGTGGTCGGTGGTTCGGGACGCTTTCGACGAGGGAGTAACACGCAAAGAGAAGCAGAGCGGCCGTCGTTTTCATTTTCACGCGTATGACGCGGTGGCGATGTATCGATCGACAGCTGTCAGTGGACGCGACGCGGCGGCCATCTTGTGGCGACCAGAGAAACGTGTACGGCGATCTGTTAATAAGCGCGAAAACCGCGCAATCGACAAACAAAAATACAACAACGTTACGTTTTTTGACAGAGTGTATAGCTGTGTAAGTAAAAAAACGCGACGACATGGCGTGAAAGAGATTGCCAAGCTGGAAAAAGAAGGGAAAGCAGAGTAAAAATGGAGAGCGAATTTATCGTTATTTGGAAATTTCGTTGCTGAATACGTGAGCATCTCGCCGAAGGACAAACGCGGTTTAGTTGGGTTAGTTGGGTTATACCTGACTAAAGGGAAATTCGAACTCGATAAGGAGGGGCTCGCTCGTCGATACGTTCCACCTCGTAACTATTAGCGCTGGTGAACGTTCCCGTTTCTGGGTAAATTCGATTAATTACTCGGCATCCATAATTATTGACGTTGGCCTAACGTGAACAGCTTGCTCGACTACTCGATTACTGCGGCGACAACGAGAATCCATTCGCCGAGGTACCGTCTAAAATTAGTCGTGTCTCCCGCTAGTCGCCACCGTTGGAAAGGTCGCCCGGTGATTTTCTGCTTGGACGGAACACGACCAAACACACGCCTTGCAACATCATTCGCTCGAGTCGTCGAGTCGTTTCGAGGACGAGAACGCGTTTTTTTCTGTTTTTTTTTTTTTTTCGACTGAAATTTTGAGGTTTAGGTTAGGTTACTGGATAAGATAAAAGTTACGAGCGAGAATAGTAAAGTCTGGCGAGCGAATCTATTTTGTTCGAATCATCGTTTTGAATCACCGATGACCTCTCACCACTCTCAACTCGACTCGATCCCTCGAGGATCAGTCAACAGTTGCCTCGTGATAAAACGGACCATAGCGAGCGCGCGCGACAAACAGCTACCGACAATGAGAGATAAGAGAACGATATGTATGTACATACATACATAGTTGGTAGACGTCGAGCAGAAGGTGCTGTCGAGTTGCTGTCAATCGCGTTATCGCGTTATCGCGCTATCGAGGACGGAGTGCCCTCGAGTCGAAAGCGAGTTGCCCGAACAGGGATTGGGGACTATGATCCGGAGCAGGACACACGAGAGCAGAGTTAAACGCATGCAAACATTTAACCGCAATGCAAACACCGTCTCGAGTGGCCATAAAGACGGTAAAGCGTTGGCACATGTTTCACCTCGTTCACGTCATTCCTAGAAATGAAAATTAACCACTTGCGCTGACAACTGATTGCGGACCGTAACGAGTGACCAAACCGTTTACAATAAATCCGTCGCTTCCTTTTTGAACTCGTCGGTGTGATATCACTGTAGATAGAAATTATTGAGAAGTAATAAATTTATTGTTTCGCCTGGGTTGTACTTAAATATACTTAAAACTGAGAAAATATTGCAATTTTGGGGCGAAAAATTCTCGACGTGCCTAGCAAAAGGTTAACCATTTGCGCTGGCAACTGATTGCGGACCGTAACGAGTGACCGAACCGTATACAATAAATCCGTCGCTTTCTTTTCAAATTCGTCCGTATGATATCACTATAGATGGATAGAAATTATTAAGAAGTTATAAATTTATCGCTTGTTTTGCCTGAGTTATACTTAAATATACTTAAAACTGAGAAAATATTGCAATTTTGGGGCGAAAAATTCTCGACGTGCGGTAGCAAAAGGTTAACCATTTGCGCTGGCAACTGATTGCGGACCGTAACGAGTGACCGAACCGTATACAATAAATCCGTCGCTTTCTTTTCAAATTCGTCCGTATGATATCACTATAGATGGATAGAAATTATTAAGAAGTTATAAATTTATCGCTTGTTTTGCCTGGGTTGTACTTAAATATACTTAAAACTGAGAAAATATCGGGGCAATTTTGGGACAAAAAATTCTCGACGTGCGTGGCACGTCATTCCAGCGAAAATTTTTGTTCCAAAATTGCAATATTTTCTTAGTTTTAAGTATATTGAAATATAACCCAGGCAAAAGAGATAATAAATTTATTACTTCCTAGTAATTTCCATTCAGGGATATACCGATGAATTCAAAAAGAAAACGAATTGTTGTATACGGCTCGGTCACTCGTTATGGTCCGCAATCAGTTGCCAGCGCAGGTATTAACTCTCTGGTTACATTTGGCGCTTATTGTCACTCAATTTACATATACATATTTCGGTCCGCTAGAATAAAAAACGCCTGCAGGTGTAACATTTTCAAATGTTATCGACAATAGTTGCAACGAAATGATATTGGATCAGACATAAGTGAATTCAACAATTACATCTTCCGTTGATCGTATATTATTTAAACGTGATTATTTTACAATTACCTCATTTAATACCCTTAAAACGAAAAGGTGTGGTGATAAATTAATCACAAAAAGGCACAAATTCGATGTAGAATTATGTTTCGAATTACAACATACCTTTATTAAATATATCATGAAATAACTGCTTTAAAGTCACTGCTAAATTTTCAGCACGTGTACTGACAATTCAATACGAATAAATAAATAATATTGGTTCAATGTTGTGCAATTCAGTGTTTTGATCATCTCGATATACTTTCTGAAAATGCAATGATGCACGCGTCGACTTTTAGGTTTCATGAAACCTGCGTTAGAATCAGTTTGCCTGTCGATTCATACATCGTAAACCTAAATATCGATGCATGCATCGCCACATGTTTCTTCAACGTATGCGAGGATCTTTACGTCATTGTTTGAAATCTTTTTCACGATCAACGGTTCTTCTATCATTCTTCTACACTTGGAACGAAATCAGCTGAACTCGCGAAACAGGAACATGGTCGAACGGGCATCTGTTTCTCTGTCTATTTGTTTGTTTGTTTGTTTGTCCGTATGACGTCTGTTTAATAATCATCAAATTATCGGAGAAATTATTGGGTATTTTGGCTACGTAGCTTACGCAGACAATCAAGATGTTTATGCGGCGTGGGATGTTTGGATTGCTGCGCGATCGTCGTCGATTGAACGTCATAGCGTTTTTTACAGGTGAAACCAAGAAAAGGAAACGACAGAAAGTAGGTCCTTTTTTTTCACTCGACTGTCCCTTCTGATGGGACATTGTAATTAAATCTAGCCAACAACTTCGACTTTTCCACCTTATAATTTGCTGATAATTATAATGAACGTATACATTTAGTATCATAGTATTAGATTCTATAGTTATCCCTTGTACTTTTTTTTGCAGATTCCTACGTTTATCATGCTGGTGTCATATATAATTTTGAAGAATATATTCTGATCTGTATATTTTAGAACCAATCAATCCCATTTCAAAGACAGTTTAGCACCATTTCTGGCCACTGAAGTGACATTGGATAAGAAGCAAGTCGGAGCAATTTTTCTTTAGGAATTCAAAGCAAGAGTGGGAAAGCAAGCAGAAACTGCTCACAAAGTCGACAACGCATTTGGCTCGGATATATCGTTAAGACACGTACGGTGCAATGGCGGTTCGATGAATTTTCCAAGACCCAAGCTGCGCGTGAAAAAAGATTATGGCGACTGTTTTGATGGTGCGCGACCGGCTTGATTCACCGTGATTTTTCTGAAACCTGTCGAAATCATCGCTGGCACCGACTTACAGTCAGGAAATCGAAAGAATGCGCGAAAAACTCAGACGTCCAGTGCCCGTACTGATCAATAGGAAAAGCCCAATGCCACTGCACGATAACGAGCGGCTACACGTTGCAGCAATTATCCTCCAGAAATTGAACGAGCTGGGATACGAAACTTTACCTCATCCACCATACTCGCCAGATCTTTCTCCAACAGATTTTCCCTTTTTTTTTTTTTTTTTTTTTTCAGCATTCAGACAATTTCTCAAAGGATAAACCGTGTTGAAAACCGAGCTGATGCGGAAAAGTTTCTTTTTAAAGTTTCATCGACTCCGGGGATCCGGCTTTCTATATTGCTGGGATAAACAAGCTTGTCGGCAGAACAAGTTGCGTGGAAGTAAATGTTGCCTTGATTAATAAAAAGCTTTGAAAGCTAAGATATATGTATTTGTAATTGAAGAGATAGAAAAGCGCAATTATTTTCTGACCAATGTAATATCTGTACAGATGCCTAGAGTGAAAGCTATAACAAGTAGAGGTGAGGAGAGCAAAAGAATTTCAGAAAGAACAAAATATTTTTTTATATTCTATTAGAAAAGACCGTAATCTCACTAACTATGTATCTTAGACCCTATTTGGTGTAATACCATTTTATGTAGAATTATCAGCGCTTTATCCGAATTCGGGAAGAAATGTTAACCATTCTATTTAAACAATTCAAGGTGACCTTCATATCTTGATAAAAAAGCAAAATAAAATAAAATACTGATCACAGTACTACATGTCCCTCTGGAAGCCATGCAACTTTTATCTGAAACATTTTCTCGTACAACAAATATTTTATGAGTTATTTGATGTCGTCAGGTTACGAGACCCTGTATATGAAAGTTTGGGTCAATGTTGGAAATTTTTTTAATAATAATTCAAATGATTAATGAAATGAAAATCGGGCATGCTCCGAAAGTTTCATTTATAATTTTATTTTCCAAATTGTAATTACTTTATTCACAATCTTGATACTTTTAGTTTCATCAAAAATTTGTTACAT